TGGGTCTTCAGATCACGCCCAACGATCGTTTACCGTTCTGGTAGACGTATTGTTGTGGGTTTATCCTACCTACACTAGTAGCTAGAGTTGCCGTGGGAATTACAACACCACATTAATGTCGACCTTCATCTTCCAGGGTAAATGTTTCGCTGGTCCCCATGTTAGTTCTCTGTAGCAAACCCATTGCACTAAATAGAATTCTAAGTTGTGCACCCATCGCTTCGCGTAGAGTAGCTCAATGTCGTAGAGCTCCCCGTTTCGTCCCCGTCGTGCTCGAGTGCCATTAAAAAGACCCGTTTCTCGATGGACTTCCACGTTACTTGTTCTAATTTCTTCGTTGCTTGGCGGTTTTGTTGGGAGGTTGAAGTTTATCTTCAGCTGATAGAAGGAGCCGTCTATCTTGCGCTTGAAGTTCCTGACATGTTTCTTGCGCTTGTTGTGTGGCGGCATCGTGCCAATTGCCAAGTGACTACTGCGGTGCGCATTATAAGAGATCACGACCATCAGAACTCTAATATTAGAAAAAACAATGTCAGTTTTTGCAAAATGATTTTTGTTTGAGATAATTTCAATGAGATGTAAAATTTGCTTTATATAAGAATTAATCAGGTGGCTACCTTCGAGGCGACACAGGAGAGAATTAACTTGTCCTCCAATTCTGCGAATTCTTCCTTCTTCTTTTTTTTAAGGAATCTACATTTGAAATAAGCGACTACAAAACTATCGGATTAAAAAGTTTTTTGTTCACCAAACATGCTCAAAAGGTGCAAAAAAAGGAATATATTAGCAATATTGGAGCAACATTTGGAAATACGAAAAATGCAAATCTCAAATATCATAATGACAACTCAAAGCTACCGTTTAAAGAGAGTTCCGAGCCCGACGACGCTTGTGCTTAGGCTTTGGGCCTGGCTTCATACCACGCTTTCATTTTCGTTCTTCGTCTATCTGAAATAGAGGGACTAGAAGGGAAGTATCCGTACGTCTTTAGGCCAAGGTCGAAAGTGAAAATTGTAGGTTGTGCTGAAAGACTTGATCGACATCTTGTCCGCGTCGTATAGATCAACTAGGCGGCACCCGTCTTGGATAGCAGCGCAAATAGAGTGGATGCAGGGAAATACTTGATCCTGCCAATTGCCGCAGGTGCACTATTTAGCAGGAAGATCAACCAATCTCCAAGTATGTATGTGCCCTTGCTGATTTAGAGGTCCGAGGTGCTGGACTGAGTAAGCGCCTTCCATCAGAGGAACAAACTGGCACATTGTGGCGGCAGTCGTTCTATCCCTGATCTGCGCTGCCAAAACAGGTACCAAACTCGAATCAGCGTTGTTACGTGCCCAATTTGCTGCCATTTGGCGCTTCTCGGA